CAAAATAGAAAACCACAAAGATTTGTAAAAACAAAAATTAGTGCCAGAGTTAAGAGAGCTAAGCTGTGAGAATAGTTTAAAGAAACTAGCCCTCATATCCTTCAAGGTGAGAAGAAACAGGGAGGCTATCATCACAATATACAAGACACTTTGAGGAACAGAGGACAAGGACAGCCTCTTTTGAAGCGTAGGAAAGTAGAAGGAGAGGACGGAAGCGGAAAACGCGAACGAGTCGAGGGAATGTGAGGAAATACTAGCAACACTGTACGGTTGGTCAACAAGTAGAAACCACCTCCATAGACATGGAAGACACTGCCCCGCAGGCACTGATAGGTAAGTACTCACCAGGTCGTCCCACATCCCAACAAAGTATAAATACTCTTCCCCCCACCCCCTTGATGCTAATTACACGTCATCAACCTCCCCTGACAACCTATCCCCCCCACTCTCCACCCCCCACCAGCGTCCTCCCCTACCTGTCTCCCCCCATCCACGCCAATACAACTGAATGTGATGACTCATATCTCAAGGCTACAGCGATCTCAACCCCTTTCCCCCCTTTAATATATATAGTATATACCCTTCCCCCCTTTAATATATATATTATATACCCCTCCCCCCTTTAATATATATATTATATACCCCTCCCCCCTTCAATATATATCGTATATCCCCTGCGCCCTCTCACAATACCCCTTCATCTGCACTTACCGTTTCTAATTATTACCCACACACCTTTCCCAGATTCATTCGCCTAGCCAACTACTCTCTCTCAAGTACTCTCACAAACCCAATGTACCTTCCTGTATATATATAATGTATATAAATAAATAAACCATTTTTTTTCTCGGCCATCCAGCATCGTTCCCCAATTTGCCAGGCTAATACAGGCACCCAGCAACCCCTCTTCCAGCCCCCTCCCGTCACCCCCCCCCCCTCACACCCTTTCCCCTTTGTTTAAGTCACTGCCAAATACCACCTGGCGGTATATGGCCACCGGTGTCTGTCTGTCTGGCTGGCCGTCTCCCTCGGTAGGTGTCAAGTGTTCGTGTATGTAGCCGCCTCAGACTCCACACACTCGCTACACTCTTCAAGTCGTCATGTTTATACTTGAGTCTGTACACCTGTCAAGACTCCAGCTCTCGTGAAGGCCCGGGGGAGGATGTGCGCGGGAAAGCCACGCCAGCGGGGTCACGGTCACCTCTCTCAGGACGACCAGCTGACCACCTCCCCAGTACCACCTATAGCGTTCCCAGCACCACCTATAGCGTCCCCAGCACCACCTATAGCGTCCCCAGCACCACCTATAGCATCCCCAGCACCACCTATAGCGTCCCCAGCACCACCTATAGCATCCCCAGCACCACCTATAGCGTTCCCAGCACCATCTATAGCATCCCCAGCACCAACTATAGCGTCCCCAGCACCAACTATAGCGTCCCCAGCACCACCTATAGCGTCCCCAGCACCACCTATAGCGTCCCCAGCACCACCTATAGCGTCCCCAGCACCACCTATAGCGTCCCCAGCACCACCTATAGCGTCCCCAGCACCACATATAGCGTCCCCAGCACCAACTATAGCGTCCCCAGCACCACCTATAGCGTCCCCAGCACCACCTATAGCGTCCCCAGCACCACCTATAGCGTCCCCAGCACCAACTATAGCGTCCCCAGCACCACCTATAGCGTCCCACAATAAGGTTTGTCGTATACCTACCTAACTTATTTGTTTTAATAATTCATTGTGTCGGGGAACAGGCAGCCAGTATATACATACAGCACATGTTAGGCTTATATCGAGGTTCCCAACCCGCCGGTCGGCCGAGCGGACAGCACACTGGACTTGTGATCCTGTGGTCCCGGGTTCGATCCCGGGCGCCGGCGAGAAACAATGGGCAGAGTTTCTTTCACCCTATGCCCCTGGGCCTCGTAGCCTGGTGGATAGCGCGCAGGACTCGTGATTCTGTGGCGCGGGTTCGATTCCCGCACGAGGCAGAAACAAATGGGCAAAGTTTCTTTCACCCTAAATGCCCCTGTTACCTAGCAGTAAATAGGTACCTGGGTGTTAGTCAGCTGTCACGGGCTGCTTCCTGGGGGTGGAGGCCTGGTCGAGGACCGGGCCGCGGGGACACTAAAGCCCCGAAATTATCTCAAGATAACCTCAAGAAGATAACCCCCCCCCCCCCCACAAGCTGACTAACTCCTGGATACCTATTTACTGCTAGGTGGAACGGGGCATTAGATGATAAAAAACGAGATTCCAACGCGGAATTCTCGATTATAAGTCGTGAACGAATCCGACTGTACTACCGGGTCCCTTTTATATAGTGTGCTTGAAATTATATAATGTGGACCAACTAGGCATACTTTTGTGACAATAATTGTATTACTGAGAAAATCAACTGGAGCTCTGAGGTGACTCGAACCCTCGACCAAGAGACTCTCAGGCGCTGACGCTAACTCCTGGACCACCCCTGACTTGATAAAAGCTATACAACCGGATATAGTCCTGTGACTGAAATCACAGGACGTCTAGCGGTCTCTACTAAAGCCAGTCCCAAACACTGGAGTGTGTGTGGGCAGCGTAGATCATCCACTGTACACTCCAACTTCAGATACACACAGAAATCACACTAACGTGATATATTATATATAAATATAAATAATATATATATATAAATAATATATATATATATTATATATATATATAATATATATATATATATATATATATATATATATATATATATATATATATATATATATATATCAATGAGAAAAAGCTCATCGGTGCTCGAGTTGATTTTTCTCATTGATGTATATCACGTTAACGGGATTTCTCTGTGTAACTGTATTACTGGCTTAGCTTTGCTGCGCCACAGAGCGGGAGGTGGGGGTGGGGGGATGGGGGTGGAGGAGAAGAAGATGGAGGTGATGAGGAAGGAGATGATAGGGAGGGGGGCGAAGGAGAGGCAGGGATGTAGGGGGGGGTGATAGAGCAAATGCGTGTGTGGTTTGTTTCAGAGAGTCGACCAACGGCACCCTAGCCGTTCCGTGTGTCGCGTCCCAATTCATTTTAAAGCTGCCTAATGACCGAGTCCTCTTAACTATCTCTTCTTGTAGTTCGTTCCACTTGCTGGCGACGCTAAAGTTCCTCCTGTCGTCCCTCCGCCTCGTCGGTCGCCACGCGTCAACTCTAGTACTTCCGTCTTACCTTCTAACACTGGCTCTGTCCACCGTCTCACATCTAACTTTAATATCTTGTACGTTGTGATCATTCCCTCTCTCCAACGTGACGCGAGTTCACTGAGCCTTTCACTATACAGGTTCCCACAGTTCTGGGATGTGAGGATCCAACACGAAAGCGCCCGGGCATATATATCCTTCAATTTCTCTGTGGGTCATGTCAAGGTTGGGCGTGTCTCAAGTGTTCTCTCTGGCCGGTGATTTATTCCCCGGCTCAACAATGGTGCAAGTCATGACCTCACCTCAAGCGACCAAGCCATATGTGAACTCTGTCAAATACTGAGGCCAAAGACTGACTGGCTGAGAGGGTAAATGAAACGTGTAACAGAGTGTAAAGGAGTCAGTCAAGGGCGTGTGACAGGATGATATCTAACAAGACATCTAGTTAAGAAGGGAGAGGGACCTAGGCCCACAAGCGGGAACACACACACACCATGTGGACCCCGTGGCGCAGCGGTAAAGCACTCGCCCGAGGCGTCGCGAGCCCTTTGGCCTGGGTTTGTATCCTGGCCGGGGAGGATTGACTGGGCGCCAATCCTTAACCGGGATTAAAGGCACCCAATCCTGGGCGCCTTTGTTGACCCAGTAGTGAATGGGTACCTGGTTGTTAAACGATTTGGTGGGTCATATTCTGGGGGAAAATAAGGATTAAGGACCTGCCCGAAACGCTGTGTACTTGTGGCTGTACATGAATTAAGAACTCTTGTATCTATAAATAAAAAGATAAAAAAAGAGAATACTAGAACAATAATTAACCTATACACAATGACATCACAATAACGGGCCATACTCGACCTGGCCACTCAACATTCATCCATTCATTCTCACACACTCACTCACTCACTCACTCACTCACTCACTCACACACACACTCACTCACTACTCACTCACTACTCACTCACTACTCACTCACTCACTCACTCACTCACTCACTCACTCACTCTAGTACTGGACCATTGGTGTGGGCTGCCAGTATTTCAACTATAGGCAAAGTATGAGTTTGATTTCTTTTTAATTTTGCAGTTCATAATGTTTTATACTATAGAAAGAACAAACATCAGAGTGTAATTATAATATTGCACCATTCCAGAAGTCTGGCCTGAACTTTTCAAATGCTTCAAGAGCAGACCTTAAATCCAAATTATTCCTGCATTTTTGTGTGTATGTATTGTACTGTAATGTAAGGTAACTATAGTGCGGCTAGTTATGTTTGTGGAAGAGTCCGATACTAATATCCTGTATGCAAGTATTGTTACTTGCATACAAGAAAGGTATTCTGAAATCAATACGGACACCATGTACAATAGGCCTCACGAGTATCGAGTATCAGCCTACAGGTATGATAGGCCTGATAAAACAAGCCATGTGGCTTGTTTTACACACACAACTCAAGTGTACTCATCTCCCATTTTAGGCCTTCACTGTACGAAAGTACGAGACTAATATAAGTACTGTACGAAATATGTACGAAAGATACTAGTTTGTGGGTTGAGTGTGGCGTCAGTAGCGAGAGAGCATGACGAGACCCTGGTGCTGGCCCCCACACAGGGCTGACTCACCTGGCGGGTGCGTCGGGTCTCACCTCAGCCCGGGGAGACGGTCCGGGTAGCATGTCCTCCCCCTTCCAGGCACAAACCAGACTCAACCTCGCTGTCAACACCTAGGATAAGCTCAACTCTTATTTGAACTGCAAATGGGTTATACAAATCACAGTAGGTGTATGGTATGGGTTAAAGTGAGAGGGGTACTCACCTATGGGAGCATTATCAAGGAGCCTGAGGTCATGGGCGGCCTGGTAGCCCACGCGGTAGTTGGTGCGCGCCCCGGCGTCCCACTGGACCACTACGGTGCGGTCAGGGGTGGTGGAGGAGCCCGGCCTGCCCACCTCCACCACGGTGCCTGCGTGGCCTGCACCACCATCCTGCTCCCCCCACTTCCAGTCCGGGCCCCGCACCACCCTCACCCCCACCTCCACCACGCCCATCCTCGCCTCCTCACGCCCGCTTTCGTCCTCTCTATCTCTCTTTCCTGGAAAATAAGAGACACGTTATTACCTTCATCCTCAAGAGGTAATCTTGCCCGAAACAATTACTGGCTTTAGGCATAAGTTTGTACTAGCAGCTCTATCTAGAAATCTAACATTCTGTTTGTAACTGTCGTCGGTACCCACAAGTCGGGGTTCACCCTCCACATATGACTGCTTACTCCTGCTGTATTACTAACAATGCAGTGCCAAGCACTAAAACAAATCAATAACAAAAAGGGACCTCTTCCAGCTACTATCGCCCGCACCTGTCACTGGGGAATTTTATTGAGCCCTTCTGTAGAAACACACACACTACTGAAAGGTTCATATATCAAATTTTGTAGCATATATAAAATTATTAGTGGCAATCCCCACAAGCTAGGCCTAAATATAATGAATTGTTAGTTCATAAAATAAACCTTTAGCGGTGGCACACAATATACGTGTATAGTACGATTGTCTATACATTCCTTCGTCAGAAATGCGTAGCAAACTTGACCATCTCAAAACCCGCTTAACACAAACATATGATGCCATTGTCGAGCTGGCTAGATAAGGCTCCGGTTCTCACATCAATGATTGATTATTTATCTGGCGCGATAACAACCACAGCCTGGATTCATCAATCATCTACGCAACCACCTGCGAAACCTGTACATCTTTCAAGAATCATGGCGACTTTGTTTATATAAACAGTTTATGAGAGGGGGCACAACAGAAGCACAACGAGGCTGTTTTATAATAACAATAGCCTTAGATTGTGAAGCTCATAGACTGTTTAATAAATGTAAACAAAGCCGCCACGATTGTAAAAAGACAAACAGGCTTTGTAAGTGGACGTGGAAATACTTGGCGACTCCTGGACCAGGAGTCGACCATATTAAACAGACTTTTGCCGGAAGCTAACAAATGGACCAAACCCAAGAGGATAAAGGCTGTGTGAGGAGCCTACAGGACCCTAAGGATCATCCTTAGTGCAACATTCTTAGCGTGCCTTATCCTACACCCAGCACACCATCCCCCCCCACCCCCCGCCTCCTGTCCGGGTCATCCAAGTGTGCTATTATCTCCCCCCCCCTCCCTCCTCAATATCAAGGTTGTTCTAGGAGGGACGGGATACCATTGTAACCCCCCCCCCCTCTCCCCAATGTCATGGTAGTGTTCCCAGTGCGGATGGGGTGCCTCAGCCCCCCTCCAATGTCAAGGTAGTGTTCCCAAGGGGAGGGGACGGGGTTCCTCTGCCGCGTTAAAGCGCAAATTGTGTTCGTGCAGGAAATATAAAGACGTTTACGCAGTGCGTGAAAGTCACTTCAAGTGATGAGGTAGCTGGAACTATCTTCCCTCCATACAAAACTCCCCTGTACGTAAGCCAGGCACGTTGATAAGGCTCAACCCGACACACGCAGTGTACAAGTTTACAATCTGCTACACATATTTACATTTCCAAATATAAAATACCGTAGACATAAACAGGCATAGATGTATGCCCCCAGAAGGAAGAGTCTTATATACCCGGCGAGAATGTAATCATAGTCGCCATTGTGACGCATACCTGGATCATACCTGGAGTGGGGTCTGAGAATTCTCCTACTCCCGAAGCCCCGCCTGAGGCAGGCTCGACTTGTGATAACATAGTCCAATCGGCTGTTGCTTTGGATGCCACACAGCACCGCTCCTGTGCTAGGTAAGTCCACTAAGGGCTCACCATAGCCCGTGCTACTTGCCCCGCTCCTGTGCCAAGTAAGTTACGAGCTCACCATAGCCCGTGCTACTTGGAACTTGTTCCGAGTAGCTGAATCTATAACAACAGCTGTTGCTTGGATGGCCATACAGCCACTACAACTATGCTGGTCCGGCACGGCTTGCAAGAACGTGTCCGAGTTTCTCTTGTTATTTGTTCAGTTCAAGTAAGTTTATTGAGAAAAGGAAGTACACCTCAAAAGGATAGAGTAGCTGAGGCTATTTCTACCCCCGTCCTATAAAAGATCCTTCAAGGGGGGTTCACAAACCCACACAGTACACAATTATTAATCATATTCTACAGTTCACATTCCTATTTGTTCAGGAACAGTGGTTATTTGCCCCTTCAATATACATGTCATCATTGTTGGTACTGGGAGCGCGCGCGCCCCCCATACTGCTCAGATCTAGCCACTCATGGCAGGTATTTTCCTGACTTGTCCTTGCGTGAAGGTAGCGTATTCACGCCCTAAGTGCGTCATGGCTACACGCATCAACTCGGCCTCCTAAATAGAGCGTCGCATTTTGACGTATAATTTATCTAAGGGCAAAAAATCGTCGTACTAGAAAGTGTTAACGGCTCGCGAAATTGTCATACTGTCCTGTTTTCTGTTTTGGGTGCTCTGGTATGTCAGGATAAGAACACTTTAGTCCGACAGTTTCTTGACGTTGGGAAACCTTAGGAGAACGCGCTGCATTTTCTACTGTTTTTCCTCACGTGTGTTTATCACTTTGCATATAATTTTCGTTTGGTTTCACATTAAACACACATTATCAACTTTTTGTTGATCTTATTGCTAAATCATCTGCCCGACACATACACACACACACACATGCACGCATACACACATCAAATGAAATGCATTAGGACGTGATGTGGTGGAGGCAGAAATCATACAGTTTCAAATGTAGATATGATAGAGCCTAATAAGCTCAGGAATCTTTACACCGGTTGATTGACAGTTGAGAGGCGGAACCAATGAGCCGAAGCTCAACACCTGCAAGCACAACTAGGTGAGTACACAAGAGCTAGCGGCCTAACCACACACTCGGGCAATTGTCGGATGAGCTTTGCGGACGTGAAAGCACAACGCACCCGCGCTGGCCCGGTCACCGCTAATTAAACCTGCTCTTCATCAGTACACACAACACCACCACACGCGCTAATGTCACTCATACGGTAACATTATGCACTCGTCGCCTCTTTGTTGGCATAATGGGCTCAACATTCACTCTCGAGTTGATTACCCACCCCAACCATTTCCCTAGTATACGTACACGTGTGTGTACTCACCTAGTTATGTTTGCGGGGGATGAGCTCTGGCTCTTTGGTCCCGCCTCTCAACCGCCAATCAACAGGTGTACAGATTCCTGAGCCTATTGGGCTTTATCATATCTACACTTGAAACTGTGTATGGAGTCATCCTCCACCACATCACTTCCTAATGCATTCCATTTGTCAACTACTCTGACACTAAAAAAAGTTCTTTCTAATATCTCTGTGGCTCATTTGGGCACTCAGTTTCCACCTGTATGTGTGTGTTTCGACGAAAATACAACCTCTAACACCACTCAGCACGTGTCCGAAAGTATCATCTGACACCACTCAGCACGTGTCCGAAAGCATCAACAGGAGTCTAGGTCTCTTACCCTGCGTCCCACTGGAACCAGTTCCCGCCAATCCACCTCCCTCCTCACTATACAATCATAACAAAAATCGCCAATCTGTTTCCACCACGCTGGTCACCGGATATCCTTTCCTAACACTGGCCTTGTCAAACTGCTGCGCACGTAGAGCACACCGCCAAGCTGCCGTCAAGTCGCGTTCTACTAGAGCGCCTCCACCTTCCCATTCTGAGGGTCAGCCCCAGTAGCGAGCACCCGAGGGCGATGGAAGTGGGGGCGGGTGGACTATATTCACACTCACCGCACTGTTTCTGTGCCAGGTAAGTCCACTACGGGCTCACCATAGCCCGTGCTACTTGCCCCGCTCCTGTGCCAGGTAAGTCCACTACGGGCTCACCATAGCCCGTGCTACTTGCCCCGCTCCTGTGCCAGGTAAGTCCACTACGGGCTCACCATAGCCCGTGCTACTTGCCCCGCTCCTGTGCCAGGTAAGTCCACTACGGGCTCACCATAGCCCGTGCTACTTGCCCCGCTCCTGTGCCAGGTAAGTCCACTACGGGCTCACCATAGCCCGTGCTACTTGGAGCTTGTTCCGAGTAGCTGAATCTATAACAACAACAACAACAACAGCCACTGCAAGAGGAGGAAAACACGTACGGTATTTTAAGGTCATGTTATCTAATACATCTTCCTGTATTAGCCAAGCTTCACCACTGTATCACCACCACTTACACTGCTGTTAGTGGAGGATATCATTCATTAATATAACTTATAATACACAATGTATGATAGCGACGAGCTGAGCCAAGCTGACCACAACTTATAGCCTGACCTACGTTATCATAACGCATTTGGCCGCAAGCTATAGAGTGTATGGATGCGGCAGTAGTCTACACGAATTCGATAAATTGTTAAACATAAACAGCAGTCAAATCAGGTAAAAATGTTAGGGATTAAAAACTAGAGCAAGCAGGGAGACTGGCCCCACTCCTCTCTCTTACTCCCCTCTATCGTTATCTTGAGGTTATCTTGAGATGATTTCGGGGCTTTAGTGTCCCCGCGGCCCGGTCCTCGACCAGGCCTCCACCCCCAGGAAGCAGCCCGTGACAGCTGATTAACTCCCAGGTACCTATTTACTGCTAGGTAACAGGGGCATTCAGGGTGAAAGAAACTTTGCCCATTTGTTTCTGCCTCGTGCGGGAATCGAACCCGCGCCACAGAATTACGAGTCTTGCGCGCTATCCACCAGGCTACGAGGCCCCTTTTAAATGGGGCCTCGTGCGTGTATGTATCCAATGCTTCACTTAAAAGGGAGGGATTGAGGCAGGGAAGGGAGGCAGGGAGGGAGGGGCGGAAGGGAAGGCAAGGAGGGGAGGCAGGCGGGATTGAGGCAGACAAGCAGCAGGCAACATCAGGCGTGGGATAATCAGTTTACCTACAGGAAACACACCTGGGACACAAAGTCACTAAGAGACCCGTCTCATCTGTTTCAATCAAGTCTCTCCCACCGGCTGCCTGCCTCTCCTACCTGCTTCTTTCTTCTTTCGTTTTAACTCAAGCTAAGGTCTAAGAGGGTTACCCAGTGTTGTAAATACAGTTACCACACGCTAAAAGCTCTCTCTTCAGTCCATTCTCA